GGCAGGCCCCGGAGGGGCAAGGCGTGGGGCCGGCTGCCGTGGCCATGATAGTGCAGGCGCCCTGCCTTGTCCTGGCTGGCCAGGCGCTTGCCTCGCGCCTGCTCTACCTCCCACGTCTTCGCGCTCAGCTGCACCCGCCCCCAACCCTGTCCCCGCCCGCTTGGGGAGGCTGGACGGGCCCCTCTGCAGTGGAAGTGCCCACGGCAGAACCCGCCCGCTCGTGTGCCTCCCTCGGGGTGGATAGGAGCACAGCTGGCAGCCCTAGTTGAGCTCACAGGCCCATCCGGCTGGAAACTCACGCACAGGAGCACACACACACGTGCACTTGCACGCACCGGAGCACGCGTGCACACACACACGCACGTGTGCACTTGCATGCACAGGAGCACACACACACAGTGTGCACTTGCACGCACCGGAGCACGCGTGCACACACACACGCACGTGTGCACATGCATGCACAGGAGCACACACACACAGTGTGCACTTGCACGCACCGGAGTGCACACACAGACACGTGTACGAGCACACTCCCATTGTGTACTAAAGAATCCATCACATGCTACGCGCGGGTTCCTGCCCGCCCTGGCTGCCTTGGCATCCCTCCTGCGCCTGCTTTCAGAGCGGGGGTCAGAGGCCTGGGGGAGCCTGGCGAGTGCGTCGGGGCCCCGGCTGGCAGACTCAGTGCACCTGCCAGGTCTCAGCAGCCCAGGGGGCTGCCCAGCCTGACCCTGGCCCCTTCCCCTGCGTCTGCCCCAGGGACCTGCGGCCGGGGGAGCAGTACCTCGTCCAGGTGGCGACCCTGAGCGGGCTGGGCACAGACGAGCACCCTGCCGAGAGCCGGGCGGCGCCCTTCCACGTGTGGACGCGTGAGTGTAACCAGACGCCCCGGCACTGAAATGGCGGAGGATCCCGCTGCCCCAAGGGCTCCGAGGCTCCGCTCGGCGGGGTTGGTGGGACAGCGCGTCAGACGGAGGCAGGGAGCAGGTGCCTGCTCAAAGGCCAGAGTCCCTCCTGGGAGGGAGGGGGAGGCAATGGCCAGCACC